CTTCACTAAGAAAGATTGATATCAGAACTCTGCTTTTTATTTTCATATCATGCTTCTGTATGGTATATACTCATCCCTCCATCCCTGCATCCTTCCTTCAAAATATGATTTAGTATGTTTTGAGTTGTCAAAATCTTGGAATAAGATTCATTTGATTAAAAAGTATATTGAATGTTGTCTTCCGGATGTTTGATTATCAAGGGGAATTGCTTATGGAAGAGCTTTCCTGTCCCAGCCTTTGTTCCTGTTAATCACAGCCACTGAAATTTGATTTCTGGAGTGATTGTACAGTGATCTCTACCCTAATGCCTAAAAGCTCTAAATAAAATTGTACACTGTTCATATGTTCTATAGCATCATCACACAAGTCTAAAATAGGTAACTGGCACCACCCCATACCTCATTGTTGGCTAACTGACTCATCCCATAAATAGCTCAGTGTTATGTGATCAGATGGCTACAACTCACAGAGGAGGGATTTTTGTTTCCTGACACATATGCACGTGTGCAAGCTCTGGTCGTCAACAAAATCCAGGTCCAACTCACTGGACCATAACTGTAACATAGTTCTAAGGAGAATTCTGCAGATCAGTAGCCAAGTCATTTTGGATGGGATCCAAGATAGCCCTACCTTATTCCAAATTCCACATTATAGGAAACAGTGTTAGAGTAAGATTGGTTTAAAGTAATGTTATATAAAGTAACGCTGTTGTCCCAGTCTAGTTAATCCCAGAGAGTCTCTTATCAAATGAATTAAAAATTCTCAGGTGAGCTAGGCACCCAGTGCCTCATGCCTGTAATCCTAGCTACTTGGGAAGCTGAGATTGAAAGTCTAGAATTTCAAGGCCAGCCCAGGCAAATAGTTTGTGAGACAAAAGTAACCAGAGCAAAAGTGGACTGGGGGTGGTGGCAGCTCAAGTGATAGGCCACCTGCTTTACAAGCATGAAGCCCTGAGTTCAAACCCCAGTCCCACCAATAAATAAATAAATAAACAAATCTCAGGTGAGTCTGAGGAGGCATCCTGGTAGCTTTATAAAATGATTTTTTCTGAAACCAAGTGCATGTTTAAAAAAAAAAAAGTACAGTAGTTCATTTTCGCTTCTAACTTGGGTGAAATGTATTGCTTTTGTGTCTGAAAGATTTTTTGCATGCTATAATTTAACAGAACAGTGCTTCATAATTTCTATAGCAGTAATCCTGAAGATGAACCTTGGGGTATTTTGCCAAATAAGTCTGTGTTCTTTGTGTGGAAGCATTGCTATTTAAGGGACTAGTGTTAATATGCAGGGTTCATCAGTCCAGGCTATAGATATTTTCACTTTTTTTTTTTTAAAACTGGGCTCTTTTTTTCTAACTGGCAGCATATTTCTTGCATTTCTTCAGGCCAAAATATCTAATCGAAAATGACCTTTCAAAAATCCCTCTACTAATTACTTATTATGAATGTTGAAATGCTGGTTATCATTGCTGACAGTTTGAACAAAAGTAAAGAATATCTCTAGGTCATTAAAGCTATTCCCTAAAATTGGTTCTGTGCATTTGCTTATTGGATCTCAGTACAGTTCTAGTTAATGCTTCACAGACCCAACTGGGTACTTTCCCATGGCCACGTTGAGCGTCTGCATTTTGAAAGCATATTAAAGCTAAAATGCTCCTCAAGAATGCCAATCTTTAGTCTACCAAAAGGACTAAAGCATTTACTTTTAAACTGTGTGAATATTTACTCTAGCAGGTTTAAAGAGGGGAAGTTAAAAAAAAAAGACATTCAAACTATAATTGTTTAACAGATTGTGAACTGTACACAATCTAGGAGAAGGTATTTAACTCCGTGTTACATTTAGGACGATGAACTAATTCTTGGGATTGTTAAAACAGAATGTGTCCCTTTAATAGTAAATGCTGGCTAAAAGTATTGGTATATAGCTGCCAATGAACAGCAGTCAACAGGTATATTTTCAGTGCCTGTAGGGTGCCAAGCAAATACTGTTGGAGGGAATGAGTTCATTTGAATAAATGAAAGCCCTTGTCCCCACAGAATTTACTGTTCAGTGGGACAAATAATGTATGAATAGGCATGTAATTTAATTATAATTTACTACATAAAATTTTACATTAAATCAATAAATTTACATTTTATAAACTAAATTAAATAATATAACAGTGGAGACATTGGTGTTTTTTTAACTTATATGTATTTTATATGTACATATAAAAACCAAAAACACATCAAAATGTTACCAATAATTACATTTCAATCATGGATTTAACAAGTGTTTTTAATCTTTTTTTTTTTACCAAGTTAATGAATACTTACTTGGGATAGGGAGGAATTATCTTAAAATTCTTTTAGAACTGGTAAGAAACAATCAACTGACAACACAACTTTTTTCTTTTTCTTTTTTTTTTTTCTGGTAGTACTGTGGATCAAACCCAGGGCTTCATGCATGCTAGGCAGGCACTCTGCCACTGAGCTATATACCCCCAGTCCAACAGTGTTTTAAATGACATTATTATACCTCAACAGTAGGTTGTACTCTGCTCTGCTGTGGACCTGGGAACCTGCTAGTTGGTTCCAGTCTGTCAATCAATCTGACACATTCATTAGATACAATTGGCTTCCATCATGGTGGCCAGGGGTCTTCTAATCACCCTCAGGAGAAGCCAGGCTTGGTGCTACTGTTGGAAAAGGACTGTATACCTGTCAGTGATATTTCTTTGGAATAATTACAATTGCTTGTTAGCAGATTTCTGTTCAGCCAAAGGAAGGCAATTTTCTAAGCAATTAAAAAAATCGCAGTTTCATGTAATTAAGTGAGAGGGAAAAAAACAAAAAACAAAATGAGTGTATCAAGTATACCTTGTTTAGTGCTTTTCCATTCCCTGTTCAGTTTTAGTGATTTGGAGGATTTCAAAAAACATTGGTAGGAGGTTTCTTTTGACTTAAAACTTTATTTAGTGACTGGGGATTTAGCTTAGTAGTAGAGCATTTGCCCAACATGTACAAGGCCCTGGGTTTGGGTCCCCAGCATCATACAAAAAACAAGCAAACAAACAAAAACCACATTTATTTAGTTGTCCTTGTGGCATGTGCTTGTAGTTCCAGCTACAAAAGAGGCTGAGGCGGGAGGATCACTTGAGCACAGGAATTTGACAACATGGTCAACATGGTGAGATCCTGTGCCTAAAACTAACAGACTTCGTTTAGCAGCTTTTCCATGTTGTCTTCTTACTTCATGAATGGATGTTAAAAGACTTGTGTTGATAATAAGGAAATATTTTATGTAGTTTGGTTTTCTTAAGATGATAAAGATTTTATTCATGTTGAAGCTGTCTATGCAAGTCTCTTTTCACCAGGAATTGAGTTTCCAAATTAAGAGCCAGACTTCTATGAATTCTGCTCAGAGACTGGATCCTCTCAAGAGTGGGTTCCCAGACAAGGAATCTAATTTGTACCTCAGTCAGGTAGAGGTGTAAAGCTGCTCCTCGACCCTTCCAGGCTTTTAGTTAATACATAAGAATGTACATATTTAAAATTTGGCTTTCTTCACTGCCTTCTCCAAGTGCAGTTTGGGTATACTCTTTGGTAACGTATAGTCTCCAGTATTCTGGTACACCTGTTTGTACCCCTGTAGGAAAATTAGTTGCTAACTAGCTTCAGAGATTTGGTGCTGACTGAGCCTTTTAGCTACTGCTAGATCTGTTGTTTGGCTCTAGACTTAGTCAGCAGTAATTGGATGTTATTTCAGTCTGACAGCTGTTTGATTTCTTCAGCATGCTAAGTAATTTAGTATTGCCCAGTAGCAATTGTTGCCAAAGTTGTAGGAAGAAAGAAAGAAAAACAAAAGAAAAATAGGGAAGATGATCCAACCCCTGTCACCAGTTAAATAGCTAACTCTGTAGACTGATTTCTCTTGTTCAATGGGAAAGTTAGCTTTGACTCCAAGTCCCAGATCTACAACTAATAATATAAATGTCTCACCTGTGTAAATACTAGTAGGCGTCTTCTGCCTTGATGTTTCATTTTCAGGGTTCCTTAGAAAGAGCAGTAACTATTGCTTCACCTGTCTCTACTTACAAAATAATCCATGTGAAACTAGCAATACAGGCATGGAACTGGTTGAGGCTGGAAAAGACATATAGAACAGTCTTGACCTTGTGCCCCCTTTATGCCCTTGACAAGTGACTATAAATAGAAAACTATCAGGGTCCTTATTTCCTTCAGAGTACACAAAGCACATTCCTTTCTGGGAGCGATAGCATCAGAGCCAGTCAATAGAAGAAAGGAAAGGGAGAGTATGTTATTTGAAAAAAGAAATCGAAGAAATGAAAATATATGTGTAGTCCAACTAGGGTAATTAGAAGATTATGAATAGAGTAATATAGACAGTCAATTTGTGTTGTGCTGTTTCTAAACATTTGCAGTGAGTGTTAGAAAGCATGTACTAGACCGGCACTGGTGGGTCACACCTGTAATCCTAGCTACTCAGGAGGCAGAGATCAGGACTATCGTAGTTCCAAGCCAGCCTGGACAAATAGTTCTGTGAAACCCTATCTCAAAAAACCCTTCACAAAAATAGGGCTGGTGGAGTGACACAAGGTGAAGGCCCTGAGTTCAAGCCCTAGTACCACAAAAAAAGAAAAAAGAAAAAGAAAGCATGTACTACACCTACATACCATTTGGGAGGTAGAAGCAGGATTGTGAATTCCAGACCAGCCTGGACTGCATGGTGAGACCCTGTCTTGGAGAAAAGAAAATAGTGAAAAAGAAATCACTATGGGGCTGGGGGTATAGTTAGAGTGCTTACCTGGTGTGCATGAGGCCCTGGGTTTGATCCCCGGCATCACACACACACACACACACACACACACACACACACACACACACACACACACACACACACACACACACACACACACAAAGAATATGATGTGTAGAGGCTGCATTTGTACAGGCTCATGTGCGTGTATGTATACAGATTATGTAATTTTTTTCCCCTAGGGACTCAATAGATCTTGATAATCCACAGGAGAACATTAAAGCTACCCAGCTCCTGGAGGGCCTGGTACAGGAGCTGCAGAAGAAGGCAGAGCACCAGGTGGGGGAAGATGGGTTTCTGCTGAAGATCAAGCTGGGGCACTACGCCACGCAGCTCCAGGTGGGTGTGAACACTGGGTCGCACTTAATCCTCCTCTTCTCTAGGAGGGCTTCTTCCTTCATTTAGTACTTCTGAGACCGTGGTTCATTCTCTCCTTTAACCCGGCATTGTTGAGTTATGTGTAACATGAGTAAGGTTCTGGTTGTTTGGTTTTGTGGTCGTAGCTTTTTTTATTAAAACTTTAATTTGAAAATAATTGCAAATTTATAGAAATTTGCAAGAACAACACAAAGAACCCCAAGCTGGGCATGACACTGCAGACCTGTAATGCCAGCACTCAGGAAACTAAGGCAGGAGGATTGTGAGTTCAAGTTCAGCCTGGGCTTCTTTGTGAGACCCTGTCTCAAAAACATATGATACAAAGAATCCCCACATGTGCTCCAGTTTACCTGTTGTTAACATTTGCTCAACTATATTCTTCTCTCTCTTCCTCTTTCCTCCCTGCCACCTTCCTTTCCTCAGAGAATAAGTTGTGTACATCATGTCCCTTTAGCCTAAGTAGTTCAATGTGCATTTTCTGAGAATATAATCTTCTCTTACATGATTGTAACGCACTTATCAACCTTAGTAAATTTAACATTGATAAAATACTATTACTTAATCTTCTGTCTATATGTCCATTTTGTCAACTGACTCAAAAGTGTCCTTTAGTGCTTTTCCCTCTGGCAGTCTAAGATCACATATTGCATCTAGTTGTCATGTCTCTTTAATCTCTCTTAATCTGGAATCATTTTGCATTCTGGCACCATTTTGCAACCTTGCTTTGTCTTTGGCATTGATATTTTAAAATACTCCACTTACCCCTTTGTTTCTTTGTTTTTCTCTGTCTCCTCTCTCCTCTCCTCTCCTATCCTATCCTCTCTTCTCCTCTCCATCCCCCTCTTCTCTCCTCTACATCCCTTTTCTCCCTTCCTTCCTTTTTTTTGAGATGTGATCTTGTTGGGTTGCTCAGGCTGGCCTCAGATGCCTGGGTTCAGGGCTGGCAGAGTGGCTCAAGTGGTAAGAGCACCTGCCTAGCAAGCATGAAGCTCTGAGTTCAAACCCCAGTACCACACACAAAAAAAAAAATCTATCAGATGCCTGGGCTCATGTCATCCTGCCTTAGCCTTCCAAATAGCTGGGCCTACAGACACGTGCCACTATGCCCAGTTTACCCCCTTAACTTTTAAAGATAAAATGTTCTTCATTTGGAGTTTGTTTTATGCTACCTCATAATTAGATTCACTTCGCACATCTCTGGTCAGAATTCTAAATAGTGACATATCTTTCTCAGGGTATCATATCCAAAGACATACGGCATCCATTCTTTGCTAACTGATAGTAATTTTGATTCCCCAGTCAAGAAATTTTTGGTGTTCTGTTTCTCATCTGCCTCTTAAAAACTTACTTATCCTGTTTCTAAGAATGTTTCTGTATTCTGTTAGGCACATTAAGATGCAAGAAATAAAATATCCTTATCCTTTCACTGTAATTGGGTTTTCTACAGTGTACTTTCTGGTTCCCATTGGTATTGGAGGAGTAGCACTACCCATGATTTTAACCTCTCATTTCCATCATGAATGCTCCCTGTCCTGAGAGAGGGTTGTGCCCCATAGTGTGGAGTAGAACAAAGTGACCTCTGCTGTTACATTCTTTCAGAACACGTACGACCGCTGTCCTATGGAGCTGGTCCGTTGCATCCGGCACATTCTGTACAATGAACAGAGGCTGGTCCGAGAAGCCAACAACGTGAGTGGCCCTGTTGTGGGGAGAGGACATGGGGAGCCCTTCCTTACCCACCTCTTTTGGACCCAGCTTTGTCAAGGTGACTCAGTATGCACCTATTAAGATTTTTATCTTAATGGATTTTAAACCTAGATGAGATTGCAACCACAAAATAATGTGAACAAGAACAAAATAATTTAACACCAACTGAATCATTTGTGAGCAAATTTTCGTTCACCCTCAGGAGAGGCTTCCTTTTACACCCTCTGGCCCAGGTCACTTAAATGACTGACTCCACAGTGGTCTTGTGTATACCTCCCCCATAACTTCATTTGAGGGTCCTCAGGTGCCTTGAGAGTTTTAGCTTCTTCCATAGTAGAAGCAAATTACTTTGTCACAAGAAGGTCTTGAGTGAGTACACAGTTGATTTGTTGCCCATGTGTCCTCAGCATGAGCATGGTCCGTAGTATTGGGTCAATGAATAAATGTGGAATGAGAGTCATCATCATTAGTAGGAGAAGCCAGGTGACACCTTTGGCATGCTGAAGTATAGTCTCTCCAAAGAAAATTGGGTGAGCTCTGTTAGGGATACTCTAATGGAGGCTGGATTTGAAATAGAAATTTCTGTTATTAGGTTATTCTGTCATATCCTCTTTTCCCATTCCATCCCAGAGAGATAATGTTTGCCATTCCTTCTGACCAAAACTTAGCTTTTGGGGTCTTAGCCCAAAGTAGGACCTGGCATTGGCTCTTCCTGGGGATTAAATCTGAAGGCTTCCTCCCATCTCCACTTCCCTGAATCTTCTCCTGATTCATCCCCAGGGCAACTCTCCAGTGGGAAGTCTTGCTGACGCCATGTCCCAGAAGCACCTACAGATCAACCAGACCTTTGAGGAGCTGCGACTGGTCACACAGGACACAGAGAACGAGCTAAAGAAGCTGCAGCAGACCCAAGAGTACTTCATCATCCAGTACCAGGAGAGCCTGAGGATTCAAGGTGAGGCCAGGCAATGAGGATGAGGGAGTGTTTGTGTCCTGAGGATGAGAGTGCGAACTCAAGACTACTCCTGTTGGGCTGGAAGAGAGACTGTGCTCCATTCTGAGCCTGTACATTTAGCAAAAGACCGTTGGCATTGAAGACAGTGCTGGCACCAGAGGCTTAGGAAGGAGAGAATATGTTGCACATGCCCTTGGAGATCATGGGGTCTTGCTCAGGTTTTCTGTACCTAGGAGCAGCGGCTGACTGGGTGGGGAAGACATTTCCCCTTTTGGGAAGGTACTCACAGTCAAAGTAAACAGTACCAGGCATAATATTTTGTATATAGTAAGCATATTACAAATGCACACTTACTGAAGTGATAAATAGGAAAATATAAAATCATATGTTTAGGGGCTGAGGGCATGGGTAAGTGGTAGAGCACTTGTTCTAGCATATGTGGGGCCTGGGTTTGATTCCCAGCACTGCAAAAAGGGGAAAAAAAGTATTTTTTCTTTAAATCTTTCTAATGAAAGGACAGTATAAGGACCAAGGGTCTGTGTTCTTGGTGGCACCTGTTTAATGTTCTGTGCAGTTTTTCAGAGAGAATTTCCTGTGACTGTGTACACTCATGCACCACAGTAAGGCCTTATAAACAAACCTCCCGAGTCTGGTATACAACTGCTTGCTTTTTTTTTTTTTTTCATTTTTCTTTTATTATTCATATGTGCATACAAGGCTTGGTTTATTTCTCAACTGCTTGCTTTTTGAGGCAAACTTCAGAATCCATCATGAAGCTATGTATTTCCACTAGCGCCCCCTCTTGGCCCTGTAGGAAGTTGGCAGGTTGAGGAGTTTTTTTCTTACTGAGGGGAATGAACTCAGGGCCTTCCACTTGCTAGGCAGGCACATTTGAGTCATTCCACCAGCCCTTTTTTGCTTTGACTATTTGTGACATAGGGTCTTGCTCTATGCCCACGTGAACTTAGACCAAGATCTCCTATTTGTACTTTCCCACATAGCTGAGGATGATAGGCAGGCACCCCTGTACCCAACCATTGGTTTAGATGGGAGCCTCGTGAAGTTTTGCCAAGAGTCTTGAATCATGAGCCTCTGATCTCTACTTCTCAATTTGCTAGGATTATAGGCTTTGAGCTACTGTGCCCAGCTGCAAGTTTTGAGTTTTAACAGTTTCTTTTCCCTACTTGCATACCCAGCCCAAAATCTCAGAGGAGCCTTGATTCACCAGCCTGGCCATGCATGTGCAGTGTGTCTCCTCTAAGAGCATGTGTGGAAGCTCCAAAACAGAACTATATTCACATTATATATTGATTCCCTGCCTTCCCAGACTTTGAGAGGAAACTATCTTTTGTATCTACCCTAAGGCAGCACAAAGACTGACATGTCATAGATGTTGAGTAAATGTTGGAGGATGATTCTAGCATATCTTCCTCCATCTGAATCCAACTGACTCCAGACTGACCTAGAAAAAGGACAGTCCCTCTTGCTGGGGGAACAGGCAATTTCAACTACAGTTGCTAACTAAATCCTTTGTCTGTTGAAAGAGTTTATGACCCTGGATTCGGGTTCCTGTTGCCTGTGTACAGGTTTAAGTTTGGACTCTGTTTGGGATTTACACCCATCATGTATGGGCTGTCAGTTCTGTCTTCTTTATCCAACTCAGTGTTACAAACACAGACTAGAGCTGAGGATACCACTCAGTGGTAGAGTGCTAGCCTTACACGCACGAGGCCATGGGTTTCATCCCCATCACTGTAAACAATACAAACAAAGTGTAGCAAAGCGTTGATCTGTTGGTGCAGTGGAACAAAGCCATTCCCTCAGATCCCCCTGGCCTCCTTCCCAGAAGCACCTGCAGATGGCTTCTGGGAAGTCCCACTAAAGTGGGATCACCAACTCTCCCTGTGGGCCTGCAGGATTCCCAGGGGAGGACCCGGCAGAATGCCCTGCTGTATTCTGAGCCTGGACGGTACTCTTGCCGCTCAGTGTCCTGCAGTGAGATATGAGCTGTATTTCTGAGTTCTAGCTCTGGGCTTTTCCTGGCTGTCTAGCATTGCTTTTTGTCCGCTCAGCTTCTTGTTCACTAGGGCAAGGACGGGGTCAGTGTGACATGGCACTCAGAGGCCAGCCAGGAACTCAGCCCACACGTGCCATGCACACGTTGTCTTGACTTAGCTGAGCGAGGGTGCTGCGCTGTTCAGAGGGTTGTTGGAAGGGCGTGAGAATCCTGGTGCTCAGGACACTTTATCTGGGGGAGGAAGAATTTGGAAGCAGGGGAGGGTGGACAGTTGGCTGTAACTAGAAATGTTTGACTTCTAAGTTGGGTCTTTGATGCCCAGTGTTTCTTGTATCCTTTCTTCCTAAGAGCTGGTGTGGGAGAAGCCACATCCCACCCCCAGCCTTAAGGGAACCAACTGTATTGTGTGCCCAGGAGCCCTTCGAACCCACTCTCTGCCTTCTGTCTCTCTCCATCCCCCTGATCACAGTGTCAGGCACCTTCCAGATCCAACAAAATTCACTCTATGCTCTGTGCTTAGGGGAGGAGAGAAAGCAGGTGGAGCAGGGGCCTCCCAGCTCCCCATGTGAGGGATGGAACTGAGCAGCTGCTTGTCTGTCACCATTTCATTTCCATTCTATCACCTACCAACCAGTAAGGATGAATCTACATAAAATCTACTTACATGTGCCAGGCAGTTCCTTGAGCATTTTCTGTATTACCATTTATTCAACCTCTATAGTAACCCACTGAGCAGGTGCCAGGATTCTCTCATTTTACATGTGGGGAAACTGAGGCACCAGAAAGACGGTGATTTGCCTGAGTTCACCCAGCTAGTGAACTCAGCACACTTGTACCTGGACAGTCTGGACTCAAGTCTGAGCAGGAGGGCCAGGCCTCTGGCTGTGTGGGTCAGGTGAAAGAGGCCAGGTTAGGATCCTCCTCAGCCTCACTTCTGAACACCTGCTCCCACCACTGACAGGGGAGGCTCAGTCAGGAGGCCAGCAAGCAGAACATTCGGACTGAGCATTCTGACTGAGCCCCTTCATCTTTGGGTGCTGTGACTGGTAGGAACCCCAACTTGCTATATTGATGGGTGACCAACCCTGAGGGTCTCACTCCAGAACAGGTAGGTGCACATTCTCAGGCTTTCTGCTGGATGCAGGAAGATGACAGTGGTCGGTGTCCTCTCCCCTCCTCTAGCTCAGTTTGCCCAGCTGGCCCAGCTGAACCCCCAGGAGCGCCTGAGCCGGGAGACAGCCCTGCAGCAGAAGCAGGTGTCCCTGGAGGCCTGGCTGCAACGTGAGGCACAGACTCTGCAGCAGTACCGTGTGGTGAGTGGATCCTGTGGCCCTGTGCTCCCACAGGGAGCCCCATGGCCTGCATGTCTGAGGACCAGAAAGAGAAACAGAGGCAGCACCCGGGAGAACAGGAGGCATGCCCAACCCTGGGTGCCCGTGAGGCAGAGCAGGTGGGAGAGGAAGGAGCTGCCTGGACCTGGGCTGCTCCCTGGGCTCTAGGCAAGGTCCGCGGGGTTGTTCTCTGGGAGCCCAGCAGTTCCTCGGTCCCTTCCCACAGGAACTGGCCGAGAAGCACCAGAAGACCCTGCAGCTGCTGCGGAAGCAGCAGACCATCATCCTGGATGATGAGCTGATCCAATGGAAGCGACGGCAGCAGCTGGCTGGGAATGGGGGCCCCCCCGAGGGCAGCCTGGACGTGCTGCAGTCCTGGTAAGGGGGCGCCCAGTGGGTGGGGTCTCAGGTGGTGGTGCCAGCTGCCTCTTCTGCTCCCGTGATGGCCTAAGTAGCAGGCTCCCGCTCTCTGTGACCACTCTCATCTAACCAGTGTCCTGTTCCTGGACATTGTCACCTTCCCCCAGGGATGAAGTTGTGTTGGGGAATGGGGCAGGCTCAGGTGTGCGGGGTCAATCCTGAGCCATTCCTCCTGTGTGTCCTCTACTTCTGGAGACAAGAGCTCTGCACTGACCCTGTGGATAGGACACTGGCAAAAGGGTTCACCTTCCTGGGTGGGCGTTGCTGCTAGGGTGGAGCTGTGCTATGGGGTCTCCCACATCTGGCCTGGATTAGGAGAGAAACCATTGTCCCATGTGGGCGTTGGCATCTTGCAGGTGTGAGAAGCTGGCTGAGATCATCTGGCAGAACCGGCAGCAGATCCGCAGGGTTGAGCACCTCTGCCAGCAGCTGCCCATCCCTGGCCCTGTGGAGGAGATGCTGGCTGAGGTCAATGCCACCATCACAGACATCATCTCAGCCCTGGTGACCAGGTGACTGCTGCCTCTCAGCCAGGCTCAGCAGGGCAGAAAGGCTTCTGTGGGTGGGCATGTGGGAGGCCCAGGTTCCATGCAGACCAGGAGCTCCCTTAAGTCCTGCCCTGTGCCCCACACCCTGCCACTGCATCTCCAGTTGCTCTGGCTACTTGGGGCTGCCTTGACCCAGTGTCTGATGGAGACACTGCAGATGTCCTTGTACCCAGCCTCCCTCCTACCCTCTTCCCCGAGTGTCAGTGGCCTCCCCAGGAACAGAGGCTAGGCCATGGTCTTCCTTGAACCCTGTGGGAAGAGCTTCCCTCCCAATCGGTCCCACAACCCTTTCCCTGGAGCCAGCATCTGGTCATCTGTCTGGTCACTTGTGTCCCCTGCAGCACCTTCATCATCGAGAAGCAGCCCCCTCAGGTCCTGAAGACCCAGACCAAGTTCGCAGCCACCGTGCGCCTGCTGGTGGGAGGGAAGCTGAATGTGCACATGAACCCACCCCAGGTGAAGGCGACCATCATCAGTGAGCAGCAGGCCAAGTCCCTGCTCAAGAACGAGAACACCCGCAAGTAAGCGTTCCATAGCCTCTCACTCCTTGCTGCTGTCCTGGGTGCCTGTGATGGAAGATTGTCATTCTGCCTCCTATGACAGATCCTTGTTGTCCCTTCTGGCCTTTTCTAGATCAGAGAATAGATATAAGTAGGTTCTTTTATGAAAATAGTATAGTTTCATTTTGTAGGAATATGTTCAAGAAAATTACTTGTGTGCGTTATTTTTCTAGTTAACATTTTCTCTCAGTGGCCTATGTTTTTAGCAGCTTTCTCTATTTCCCCCTACCCCAAATATGTTCTCTACCACTGTGTACTGGGATTTGCAGCAGGTCTGTCTCTGGTTTGCAGTGATTACAGTGGAGAGATCTTGAACAATTGCTGCGTCATGGAGTACCACCAGGCCACAGGCACCCTCAGCGCCCACTTCAGAAACATGGTAAGAATGGGAGAAGAGGAAGAATGAATTCTCCACCCTGTGTTTGAGGGCTTCATCTTCTTATGGCTCCTCCTTTGCAGTCCTTGAAACGAATTAAGAGGTCTGACCGCCGTGGAGCAGAGTCAGTGACAGAAGAAAAATTCACAATCCTGTTTGAATCACAATTCAGTGTTGGTGGCAATGAGCTGGTTTTCCAAGTCAAGGTAAAACCCATTCACAGCCATTGTGTTTGTGTCTCTGTATAAGTGTGTGTGTGTTCAGTATGTGTCTTTGTGTTTATGTGTGTGTTTACTTTATTTCACAAAGATTTGTTGTAATCACATAGTATCTTCTTTTTGACGATTGATAAACAGAAGAGCTATTATATCCTATTTTCTCTTAAGACATGAACATAATATAACAAACTGAAATAGCTGGAAAGATTGTAAAAAATGAACCAAGGAAATGTTACTCAGTGTGAATTTAAGAAAACGTTGTAGTATATTTTAAAGATTTCTTCTGTGTTGATTTATCCAGAAATGTCTCCTTACTCTTTCTTCTCTTATTCTATCTGTAACTTTGAGAAACTTACTCTATCCTTCAGAAAAAAAAGTAGCCTCTTGATTACCTAAAACTTCAGCTGAGTGTGGTGGTGTATGCCTGTAATCCTAGCACTCAGGAGACTGAAGCAGGAGGATCAAGAGTGCCAGGCCAGCCTGGGTTTCTTAGTGAGATCAAGGCCAGCCTGGTATACAAAATGAGATCCTGTCTCAAAAATAACAGTAACATGAGTAGAGGCCTGGCACAAGAGGTAGAATGCTTGCCTAGGAAGTGCAAGTCCTTGAGCTCAAACCCCAGTACCACCAAATTAATAATAATATAACAATAATAATAATTAATAAAATATCTAAAATTTCCAAGATCATGTCAGTATGAAATGTCATATTATTCTTGGAGCCATTCACATTTTATTTTTGAGAGTGCTACTTAACTGAAACTTGAGCAAAAGTGTCGTGATCGTCAGGAAGAAAGAGTACAGGGGAGGAACTTGAAGCTGTGTGTGCTCAGTCCTTCTCTGATGTTTTTTAGACCCTGTCGCTCCCAGTAGTGGTGATTGTTCACGGCAGCCAGGACAACAATGCGACAGCCACCGTCCTCTGGGACAATGCTTTTGCAGAGCCTGTGAGTCGATTCCTTGGGCCGGTGGGTCTTGAGATCTCGATACTGGAGTCATGACTTTTCCATGTGTTATAACAGTTCACCCCCCACCCCAACAAAAAAGCATAGAAAAGGTACCATTTTCCTTAGGGAGGCAGAATAAAAAATGTGGAAAGAGCATGGGCTTGATGTTAGGCGGGGTTTGAATTCAAGCTCTGCCACCTCATTGTAACCACAGGAAGTTCATTTTGCTTTTCTGAACTTGACTTTTCTACTGAGTGCCTGCAACACAGGCATAAAGACACCAACGACATTGTCAGAAGGTTTAAACAGAGAAACAGAGAAAATGCTTGTCACACCAATGATACTCAGTAAATATGATTTTGAATTCTTGAAGGGCCAGGTGTACACTCTTGTAATCCCAGCTACTAAGGAGGCAGAGATCAGGAAGATCATAGCTCAAGGCCATCCCAGGCAAAAAAGTTAGCAAGACTCTTATCTCAATAAACAAGCCTGGCATGGTGTTTCACCATGATAGAGGTATTGGTAGGAGTACCCTGGTCCAAGACCAGCCCCAGGCAAAAAGCGAGACCTTATCTGAAAAATAGCAAAAACAAAAAAGGGCTAGGGGCATGGCTTAAGTGGTAGAGTGCCTGCCTAGCAAGCATAAGGCTGAAGTCAAACCCCTAGTGTCACCAAAAAAAAAAAAAAGAAAAAAAAATTCTTGAGGGGAAACCCTAAAGGGGCTTGAGGCTGTTAGGTTCCTTGTAGAGGTTGCTTTAGCTGACAGGTTGGCTTGTGTCACCTTCTTCCCAGTAGATGAGGATGACATTTGGTGTCTTTTCTAGGTTCCAGATTCTGTGATTTATCCCACGTCTTTCACTAAGAATAAATGCTTTATCTAAAGGAAGGGTTCGGGGACGTTGAGGTGTGGCAAGTGATAGAGAAACTGCTTAGCAAGTGCAAAGCCCTGAGTTCAACCCCCAGTATTGCCAAAAAATTAAAATTAACAAATAAAGGAACTAATATAATTTTGTAAGTTTGTGCTCCTGAATGTCACTAGGGTGCTGCTTAATGAGCATTTTCAAAATGCTTCTGCAGGCAGAGGTCTGTCTGTGCGTTGCATATTTCCAGTAGAAATCAGGCCATAAAAGTACAGTAAAGGGATTATCATTGTTTGGGACATTGAAGTATGCCTTTCTCTAAAGACTAATATGAAGAGTCTTGGCTGTTCTCTTTAGAGGATGATCGTTTATTATCAAGGCAAGATTTTCATGGGATTCTGCCATGCCTGTGCAGCAAGCCCTGAATTTAGGCTCCTATAGAAATGTCTCGCTCCCTCCTGTCTAGCTAAGCTTCCTGGATCAGATAGCCACAGCGCTGATCTCCTTCCCTGCTGCCCACAGATCTCTGTGTAACCTTGACTGGTTCTGCGATGTGCAGATACTAATAATGAGCAGTTTTCACATTTCTAGTTATGTTAACGACTAGGAAATATTGTGCTATTCTAAAAGTGCTATATTGTTGTGAGAATTCACACATGTATTTGTATATGCATCGAATGATATAAATACATTGCACATTGTTTTTAATAAACAAATCTATGGGAATCTGGCAAAATATGTTATTGTTCTTCCCTACTATAGAATATTTAGCAGCCATAAAAGAAAATGAAGAATTCCTTTTTAAATTTTTAATTGGCACATGATAATTGTACACATTTATGGGATGTGATGTAATTTTTGTTTTGTTTTACAGTGTAATTTTTTGATACATGTATGTATATATTTGTAGTGATCAAATCAGGCTAATTAGCATATCCATCACCTCAAACATTTATCATTTCCTTATGGTGAGAACAATGAAAATCCTCTCTTCTAGCTCTTTTGAAATATGCAATGCAATATTGTTAATATAGTCACTCTGCTATACAATAGAACCCCAGAATTTATCCTTCTGTCTAATCGTACCTTTGTACCTACTGATCAACTGGTTGGATGGAATGAAAAGCAACTTATTGAAAGGTTCATATTCTAACCTATTTCTCAATAAAGATGGCAAGCTGAAATGTCCACTCTTCCATGCCAAGTTGCTTCACTTGGAGCTGGAGTCCTTGGCAGAATGTGTCAAGGACAAGTATTACCCTTGGGGACATACATGTGTATGCATGCCTGTGTACACATGTGTGTGCATGTGCTCTCACTGTGTACCCATACAACTACTTTTATCAGTTTCTAAATTTCCAGTAAGTTTAGGCTATAAGGGTCAGGCCTTGGTGAGGTTTTGTTTTGATGGTATTAGAACCCAGAGCTGGACTACAGGGTCAGCAGCTCATTTACAAAACAGCATAGCTAGCATAAGGTTACCTTCCAGTTGTGAGTGAACAAGGTGAAGTAAAACCTTCTGCCTCTCTCAGAACCACATACCCCCAGAAAATTTGACTGTCCCGGGGCTTGGCAAGACAAATGTTTATAACTACTTGCAGCCACTGTTGTTTTTCTTTTGCGGCTTAAGGGAATCAGTCATGCAACTGTTTTCGCATAAGATTCTGGCTTCTCTCCCTCTCAGGGCAGGGTGCCATTTGCTGTGCCTGACAAAGTGCTGTGGCC